AATTAGAATGAAATAAGTATAATTGTTTAATTAATCAAAAACTAATTAATCCCACTAATGGTACCTATATAAGCCACGTGTTGCCTTATATCACCATTGCACACACACTTTATCATCTTTTGCCATAAAAAACGTAGGAAAGAGAGAGAGTTAAGTGTAAAAGCTTGAGCTCATAAGAAAAAGGGATTTGGATTGGGAAGAACTTAGAGCATTTGACTTGGGAACTCAAACATCTACACATCTAGGCCATAATTGAGCACCTAAGGTAAGAAGTCAAGCCTTTAGTTGTGTTATTGAGGTACTTAACACATATATTTAAAGGAATTAGATGAATTGAAGCAAGAAAGAAGCTCCTTGGAGTACACAAGAAGAGTATACATATATGCATGTACATTACATTGCAATTAGAGCATGATGTCTAAGAATTTGTTACATGCATGTTCATATTTTGGTTTTAGTTTAAGAATTCAACATGTTTTTGTGCCGATATCTCTATTAACCATGTTTTGGAAAATTAAAGCTCATACCATTGCATGCAAGTGAAGTTTTTGGAGTTACAAGTTATGTTTTAAATAATTCACTTACTCTTGGGTCTTGATTTTATGAAAAGATCCTCAATTCTTCATGTTTAACAAGTTTACAAGTGTTTTCTTAAGTGTTGGCCCAGAAATGATGAGATTTGAAGTGTTGAATTTAAAATTTGTAGCTTGGAGGTGAATCTGGAATTCTAGAATTAGACCCCTCCGCTCGAGCGCCAGATCCCATGCTCGAGCGAACACTCTGTGATCTTACACTTTTGCTCGAGCGACCAGAAGTTCGCTCGAGTGTGAAATGCATGCTCCCAGAAGTCTCATGTTTTTGCAGACTGCTTGAGCGGCAAGACTTGCGCTCGAACAGGGGCATGAGCCTCATGCTCGAGCCACCTTCGAGCGTCCGTCGGGCGTGAAAATCATATAACTAGTACTTTTTTAAAGTTGTAGGGTGCTTGAGCGTGGGAAGTTGCACTTGAGCATCCCCTCACACACATTACATGTCCGCTCGAGCAGTGAAAGCTAAACTCGAGCGGGGACCCTATTTTCAGAAAATTTGACCAAGTGTTTTCAAATGCATTTTTGCATCCTTATTCCATCATAGGCATTCCTAGGCCAAGATTAAGGCACATTAATGAGGGCAAAATGTAAGAACACACCATGAATAGAACTTAAAGAGTTAAGTACATTCCAGTGTGTTTTAAATGTACACTTGTTCTGTGTTGATGTAGGTCACGTGTCGTAGATCATTTCCGCTCTGTCTGTCTGCACTCAGAGCCATCTGTGAGTAATAACTTAGTAAAGCTATGCTCAACTTTATTTATTTTCTGTATAATGAAATGAGATTTGTCTTCTGAAATGTTATGTTTTGTACAATGAATGATTGTCCAATTTCTAACATGTATTCGTGGTATTCTTAGCATCACGTGATATCTGTTAGCTGTTACCCGGTATCGGAGGTTCCATCATGGAACTTAATATGTTTGCAATCTGTTACCCGTACCGGAGGCTCCATCATGGAGCTTAGCATATATGTTATTTGTTACCTGGATCCGGAGGTTCCTTTATGGAACTAGTTACTCATAACCACCATATGTTCTGCATCTTTTCTGTATCTATTCTGTTAGCGCTAATGGATGTACCACGTATGATTATGTATGTGTATGAACTCCAAATTCTGTGTATGATTTGGTTAAGATTATGAATATGGATCTGCTACTGTTTCTGAAATAAATATGAATATATTTTTTGGAATTAATACGGGACATCATTCATGGAAACCTCTTTACCTTGTTATTATTCACTGGGCTTCCGCTCATTATTTATATTATGCATGTAGGTGACCAGGCACGTAATCAAGGCCAAAGTTGATGGCCTGAGATTCCGTTTTTTCAGCCACCCTTTGTGTCTCCCGAGGAGGCTCCGAAACAAGTCAAGTCATGTGGCTAAGTCTTTTTGAACGTTCAACACTTTGTTTTCTCTTGTTTAATGAACAATTTGTTTTTTTGGTTATCTGTACATGGGGTGACGTATAATTATTGTACCTATGTGATGTCATGAATACTCTTATAAAGTTTAAAATTGTTTTGTCTCATGTACGTTTGCATAGCTCAATGGACGTTGTATTTTATATATTTGCTTCTGCAACCCCTTGAATTATGCGTTATTCTGTTGAGAGGCCTTTGGTAATCTAAGGATTACGGACCAGTTACGATACTAAACCTATAGGGGCGGGTTTGGATCGTGACATTTAGAAAACAAGGGATTATAATTTTGGAGGTAATGTGTTCGTCCTTGTCGCACACACGTAGAGACACATCTCTTGCCGCGGGAGGCAATGCCATATTTTGGCCATAAAGGATGGCACACGCAAAACATACTCACGGTGTGTGATTTCGACTTGTGTTTTACCTTTATCTCTTGCGAATGGGAATGTAGTATGCACGACGACAGATTTTTTAACGAAGTAACACAGGACCCGGCCAAACAATTCCCCAATCCAGATGATGGTTAGCTGAATAAGGGGTGTTCAATGTTGTTGTTAGTTATGTGCATTTGATTAATGAATAATGTTACTAATGCAAAATGATCTTATTAAAAGTAGGAAAATATTACCGTGTTGATGCGGGGTATAAGAACCAAAAAGGCTTTTTGGAGCTGTTTAAGGGATGTCGATACCACTAGAAAGAGTTTCACGCTACTAGACGGGCAAGAAATGCAAACGAAGTTTTTAATACGGTGCATTCCTTATGGAGTGCAATTGAATGTACATTCAGAGTATGGAAAGTGCAATGGGGATACCTACATAACATGCCTCGATATGATTTCGGAAAAATACAGGTGCCATTGGTTAGGGCTTCAATGGCACTACATAATTTTATACGCCGCAACTCGAACAACGATGAAGCCTTCAACAGGGTTGCCAACACAGAGACTTTTACTTTCAACGACATGCTTAATGTTGCGGGTGTTGGTGATGATGATGACGTACATATGAATGAAATTAGGAAATCAATTCGGAATGAGTTCGTGCGACATCGGCGTCAACTCGGGCTATAATCCTGTTTGGGCTTTACTAATTGATGAGAAATGATATGAATGTGTCAAACTGTTGAACTTCTTAAAAACTGTCTGGTTGTCTTCGTAAACCAAAGGTTATCAATTGCGTTTAGCAGACATAAATGTGGAGAAAAAAAGAAGAAGGAAAGAACGCAATTTCTTTGCAAAAATTGAATAATTTTAATATTACATTGAATAATTTAATAATTTTAATGTGATGTGTAGTGCAACATTGAATAATTTAATATTTTTATTAATTTAATAATTTCAACTGCATAACATTGAAAAATTGTAATATTACATATTCAAAAATTGTTCAAACAAACACATGGGTAAAAAAGTAAATTTCCTAAGTTAGGTGAGGGTATTTTGGTTATTTTAATGTGATGTAACAACATAAACAAATATTACACCAAAAAGCTAAAAGTCAACTTTTTACCAACTTCCCAAATCACTTTCAAAAAAGCTAAAAAGCTTAATGAAAAGTCAAAAGTTAACCCAAGGGTTGTAGCATTGTGGTAAGGCCTTGGGGTTTAAGTCCCAAGGTCACAAGTTCAATTCTCCCCTTGGGCCAATCTCCTGAGCGAAACACTGTTGGTTAGGAGATTGGACCTCAAGTTGTCTAGTCAGCACTTGGTGTGGGTTCAATGCTCCATCGCTGTGCGAGTCCTGAACGGCTAACAGGACACCTTGGTGATCTTTGTAAGGGGCGCTGCCTTGGACCTGCGGGAGGGTAGGGAGGATTTTCCTGTTAAAAAAAAAAAAAAAAAAAATCAACTTTTTACCAACTTCCCAAAGTACCCTTTAGTGTATGTGATTGCATAACATATAATAAAACACCACAAACTAATCCAAAAGTGGAGAGTTTTTATGAAAATTTTCATAATATTTCTTCCATGAATTATAACATTACTAAAAAAGATTAACGATTTGAATTATACAAATGAGCTTACCAAACTTAAGCACCGTCTCAAATGGAGATGTATAATTTGAGCGAATCCAAACTATTTATTGTAAGGTTGTATTTGATTAGAAGATTTGATGAGTGAACTAAAAAGGAAAAGTGAAACTGGAAACAAATAAAAAAGAAAAAGAATTGATAGGATTAAAATTCTAAACTATATTTAGGTCTCGTTTAACAATCTTCAGTTTTAACTAAAAAGTTAAAAAATCTTTATAAATTATCACATTATTCTCTTACTTTTTTATATATTTTTTTTGTAAAAATTCAAAAAATTATTAAAATAACCTACTCCCAAATTAAATCTTAGTTGAGTTAGAAATTGAAAAAACAAAAGAGCATAACAAACAAAACTTGTAAACCTAAAAAATTAGTCAAAAAAAAAAGAAAAAAAAGGCTAAGATTCCAAATATTTAATTAAATATTTCATATGAGTATGAGATTCAGACCATATAAGCCTCACACTCATATAAAATATTTGATAAAATATTTAGAATTCTTAATATTTTCATTGTATAATCTTAACATATTTTATTATAATTAAACAAAAAGTAAAATTATGCCTCCGTTTGGCAAGCAAAAAGCCAGGTTTTTTTGGCTAAAATAGCCACAAAAAATAAAATAGGCTATTTTAGCCACAAAAAACAAAACATCAAATCCAACCCATAATCATTACAATCCTCTCTCACAAAAAAAACTAAAAAAGCCAAAAAGCCAAAAAGCCCTTCCCAAACCAGGCTAAAATAGCCCAGGCTAAAATAGCCAAAAAGCCAAAAAGCCAAAAAGTCAACCCACTTCCCAAACGGAGGCTATATTTTATTTTTATTTATATTTTTTCCATCAAATTCAACCACCAAACACACCCGAATAAAACATAATTTATGGTGATGGATACGTGATATGATTCCCATGCTAATTTATGGTGATAGATACGTGATAAAATATAATTTGCAGCCGCTCATTACTCCCCCAAGCTCCCAAACATTTTGGGAGAGAAGAAGAAGAGAAATTGAATTAATCAATCCAAACCAAAATCCAAAATCCAAAAAAAAAAAAAAAAATTCAAAACCGTAACCCTAATCTCATCATCTCTCACGCCTCTGCATTTCGCCCGAGAAAATGGATGCGATCGGAGTCCTGATGGTGTGTCCGATGTCACCCTACCTCGAGCAAGAGCTCGAATCCCGATTCAAGCTCTTCCGCTTCTGGAACTTCCCTCAGAAGAAGGAGTTTCTCAAAGTCAACTCTTCTTCGATCCGAGCCGTAGTCGGCACCGCCACCGCCGGCGCCGACGCCGATCTCATCGAATCGCTTCCGAGTCTGGAGATCGTCGCGAATTTCAGCGTTGGATTGGATAAGGTTGACTTGGTGAAGTGTAAGGAGAAGGGAATTAGGGTTACCAATACGCCCGACGTGTTGACGGAAGACGTGGCGGACTTGGCGATCGGGCTCATTCTGACGACGCTGAGGAGGGTTTGCGAGTGTGATCGGTATGTGAGGAGTGGGTTGTGGAAGAAAGGGGACTTCAAGTTGACTACAAAGGTTTGGATTTTTGTTTGTGTTTGTTATTTTTTGTCGTGCACTTGTTTGGTTGCTGAGAAAGTGTTGGAAATCAAAGGTTTTACTCTACTGACAGTTATTTTGCTTTGTTGCAGTTTTTGTTTTTTTTTTTTTGTGTGCAAAATCTGAATGGTATGGCAGGTTTGTGAGCATCTCCAATTCTTCACTTCTTTCATCAAAATTTGATGGAAAATGTCAAAACTCATCTCCAATCCTTTCATCAAATTATATCAAATTGAGAACTTAACAATTCCTGCATCAAATTTGAATCTGATAAATTTTTTTTAAAAAATAATAATAATAAAATGAAGCATTGTAGATGGGAATTTGGGATAAGATGGGAATTTTAAAAAGATTTTGATGAAAATTTGATGGAAGGATTGTGTAGTTCATATCAAATTAAGTTTTTTACTCAAATTTGGAGTCAAATTAATAAAAAATTGGTGAAGGCTTGGAGATGCTCTGATAGGAGTCAAGATTTAAGTGTTTCTTATTTTCCTCTAAAATTTCAGCAATCAAACAATTACTGATGCCACTTTTCTCAATTTGATAGGAGTCAATATTTAATTTTCTCCTCTTTTTCCTCTAAAATTTCAGTAACCAAACAATTAATAATGTCATCTTTCTCAAGTTATCAATTTTGTATAAAATTTTCTCGAGTTAATTTTGGTTATGCACTTGTTTGGTTGCTGAGGAAGTCAAAGAAAGAAACGCCTCCACTCAACTGACTGCTATTTTGCTTTGTTTGAAGTTTTTGAGTAAAAATCACTCAAAGAACCCTCCACTTTTTAGCAAACTTATACAAAATTGAGTTTTTACTCAAATTTTTATCCAAACAAGGGAGACTTAAATGTTTACTCAAAATTTTCAAGGCTATTTTGTGTGTTTCAAACTTAACATTATGCCATTAGGGAAAAGCAAGCCCTTTGCTAAAAAAAGAGTTGGGGCTTTTTCGCCTGTTCACCAAGCTTTCGAGCAGCTCTTTCAACTCAAATAAAGTTTTTGCTCAATTTTTAATTAAAATTTTGTGTAAGGGATGGAGATGGCATGATAGGACTAGGAGTCAAGATTTTATTTTCTCTTCTTTTCCTCTAAAATCTCAGCAACTAAACAAGTAATTATGTCATTTTTCTCACACATCAATTTTGCCTGAAAATGCGAACTACAGTAATGATTGACTTCACGTGACTTTAGTTTCCTTGATTTAATTGTGCCTCTGCTAATTTGGTCAGTTTGGTTATGTGTGGATTGAGTTCCAAACACTTAGATATGTTGTGGCTTTATGTTCTATCCATCTTTCCAACTTTGAGCATAGCATACTTCTTGTCAGGGTTGTTTGTCCGTTTGTCTTCCCCTTTGGGAGTTTGGGCATCATTTTTCTGGTTTCCATTTTGTTGTCAACAAAAATCCTGGCATTCAGGTGCTTTGTAGGATTCTCTCTCTGTATCTATTGCATTCCTTGTGGTTGTGTTGTTGCTGGATTTTATTTTATTTTATTTTAGATATTTCTGTTTGAAGTTTGTTGTGATTCTTGGAAATTAGCCTTCTGTTAGCTTTGATGCTTTGGTTACAGGCTATATGTTTATTAGATTGAGGTGAGAAAGAATAAGACAAGTCTTGTTGCGAAGGGCTGTGGAGAATTAAGGGCAAATGCCTTTGTTTCTTTTGCAAATTCTTATCTGGGTTCACTATAACTTCACAGCAGGCCTGTGTTAGTATGAAATATCGTTACTTTAGGACACTTAACATACTATTTTGGTGTCTGCCTTATTGGCTCTGCAACCTTAGAGCCAATAGTAATTTTATTAACATATCAGAAAACCTATCAGAAACAATGAAAATCAAACAATTTAGAACTTTTTAGTTATGTTCCTCAAATATCTTGCTTGCTACTAGGAAATGAAGCCACGTGACTGTTATGAACAGATGACTGTTTCATCTCAAACGAAATTTTACTTAAATGTTTGAATGATGTCAAATGCTTCTCCTAGCACGTTCATTCTTTCTTTGCTCTACATTGAGAACTTGTCTGCTATATCTATTACCTTTATTTGTTAATGAATATTTCTCATCTTTCTAGTTTCTCTTCATCTTTTTTCCAGTTCAGTGGCAAATCAGTAGGCATTATTGGACTTGGCAGAATTGGGTTAGCAATTGCCAAGAGAGCAGAAGCATTTGGCTGCCCAATCAGTTATTACTCCAGATCACAAAAGCTAGATTCAAAATACAAATATTTCCCAAGCGTCATTGAGTTAGCCTCCAACTGTGCTATTCTGGTTGTTGCGTGTCCTCTAACCGATGAAACTCATCATATCATCAACCGCAAAGTCATTGATGCATTGGGTCCTAAGGGTGTCCTCATCAATATTGGGAGGGGTCCTCATGTTGACGAACCTGAGTTGGTATCTGCTCTGATTGAAGGCCGGTTGGGTGGTGCTGGACTTGATGTGTTTGAACATGAGCCTGAAGTACCCGAACAGCTCTTTGGGCTTGATAATGTGGTCCTCACCCCTCATGTAGCAAGTGCAACTGTGGAAACCCGCAAGGCCATGGCTGATCTTGTGATTGGAAACTTGGAGGCACACTTTTCAAAGAAACCACTGTTAACTCCAGTGGTTTAATTGTGTTGTAATTGTAGTGAAATGGATGATTGATTGGAGGTCTTACCTTGCAGCCTGGTGCTTATGTCTTTCAGTTTTAGAGATCATTGTTTCTAGAACTGGGCAGATAAACCCTTACGAGATGCAAACCTCTAATTATCCTTCTAAATTATTTCTTAGGTATTTTGGCACTTGCTGCACATAGAGGAAAGCCTGGTTTGGGTCAAGTGTATCTGTCCAATCTTATGCTTATCTTCTTCAAAATAATTTGAATTGACTGGGCCATTCATGGACTAACCAGGGAATGAGTAGGTTGAGTCTGGTTTTGGGCTCTTCTTTTGTTGGTCGTTGAAATGGCATTTTTTTTTTTCGTCTTTAAAGGTTTGAATAAAGGAGTTTTTGTTTATTTGGATATCATATTGAATTATTAATTACCAACTCAAGCGAGAGATGGATAACTTGACTACTCAATTAAAGCAAACTACTTATGCCTCTGTTCGCCTTGAGTAGTAGTGATCATTTAAAATTGTTTCTATTTCTCATCAGCATTCTTAGTAAACAAACTGAGCATTAAAGGTCAAGAGGGACATTAGTATTAGTAGAAAACAGAGACACAGCACAAACCTGTATAAATGAGGCATTGTAAATGCTCCTCTAATGCAATACAAACAAACCACCAAAACCTAAAGACGAAAGAAAAGAAAGCTAAAAATGCACTTCTTGTGGGCTAAAAGTAAAGCTGCTTTGCTTTGCTTTTCCTACCTACCATGTCCGGAACTTTATCTGGAAACAAACACGAGAAGGAGGTTTAAGGAGGAGGAGAGGAAGCTGCTTTGAAGATGAGGAAATTGAGGGTCTCCAATGTGAAATAGATGAAAGTTCCTTTGGTATGAGTGAAGAAACACCCGAAATTCGATCCCACCACGCATTGCCATCCGCTCCCACATCTCTTGTCAAATTCCTGAATCATAAAATCAACCACAATAACATTCCCAAAAACAAAAAATTCAGTGAAAAAGAGAGATGCATTCAAAACTCAACAGAGAGAGAGAGAGAGAGAGAGAGAGTAAATGGATACCTTTTTGATGTGGGAAGCAATGGAGATGTAGTCGAGAACATCAAAGAGATCCAAAGCTTGAGAAGCAGCAGACATTGCTTGGATTTGCATCTTCACGGGCATATCCGTGTCCTCTATCACTGCTTTCCCTTCCAACATTCTCTCTCTCTCTCTCTCTCTCTCTCTCTCTCTCTGTGAAACCCCTTGTTTGTTTGCACTATCTAGCTCTTATCTTCCAAACCCAGAAATGACCACTAGCTCTTTTCTTCCAAACCCAGAAATGGTTCTCTCTCAATATGTGTGTGTGTGTCTCTCTCTTCCTCTTTTAGACAAGTGTGAATGGATAGTAGAGAAAAAAGATAGCAGAAACAGAGGATTTATAGAAAGATCACAGCGATGGTGAAAAATTAAAGGATGAGAGCATTCGAAAAAGTGGCAAGCGAGGTCAGTAATGGGGTCCTCCAAATGTTAAGGAAACCTTGAGAAATGTTAGGCGTTCCAAACGTTCTATTAAAATTTTGAATAAATTATACTTATTAAGGTTTTGGTTTAATATATATTATCTCTTGACATTTGAGAAATTATATTAATTTTTTTTGTCATTGTAATTATTTAGACGGAATGAACATATTGAACTCATCTATTTTTTCTTTTTTTTGCTTTGCTTTACTTTCTCTTTTTTTTCCCTTTTCTTTATTTTTTTTAATGTAATTTCTTTTATTTTTTTGTTAGGAGTTGTTACATTTTATATAAGCGGGGGAGTTTATGAAATGAGACTATTAACAGCAGGGGTAAAAAATTATACTTATTAAGGTTTTGGTTTAATATATATTATCTCTTGACATTTGAGAAATTATATTAATTTTTTTTGTCATTGTAATTATTTAGACGGAATGAACATATTGAACTCATCTATTTTTTCTTTTTTTTGCTTTGCTTTACTTTCTCTTTTTTTTTCCGTTTCCTTTATTTTTTTTAATGTAATTTCTTTTATTTTTTTGTTAGGAGTTGTTACATTTTATATAAGCGGGGGAATTTATGAAATGAGACTATTAACAGCAGGGGTAAAACGTCAGGGGTAGATAGTAATTGGTCCAAACTTCAAGGGGTGTCAATGCAATTTACCCTAAAATTTTTATCAAATATTTTATATAGATGTAAAATTTATATTATGTAAATTTTATGTGAGTCTCACACTTATATGTAATATTTAATAAAAATTTTAATAAAATTATTGAGATATTTAGCATTTTTTTGTAACATTTGATACGGAGAGTGGATCATTTTCACCCGTAGTCCAACATTAGTTAACCTTATTCTTGTATTAGGAAAAAATTATTTAATACTCTGAGAATATTACCTGTTCATATTTTTTATTAATTATTATATATTATCTCTTTTCATATTTTTTAATACAAATTATGAAATTTATTTTTTCTACCAATCACAATAACATTGAAGCACCATATGATCGTACTACAAGAACACCGAACAATTGCTTTGGATTAGGATGCTCCACCTCTACAATACTCGTGATAATTTAATAGTAATAATTTGGAGTTTAAAATAAAATTAATGTTAATACTCTCCCCTTCTCAAAATGTTAGCCTTTTATTTTATTTTGAATAATATTAGATATCTCAAAAATTTTACTAAAATTTTTACCAAACATCTTACATGAATGTGGGACATACATGGGACTCACATGGTGAATGTTTCACACTTATGTAAGACATTTGATAAAAATTTTAATAGAACTTTTGGGATCTAACATTTTTCTTTTATTTTTTATTATTCCAAAATATTAATCAAATTTTAAAAATTAAGGACTAAAATAACTTAAATTTTTTATTTTACCATTTTTTTAAATTCATTAATTATGGCAATTGATGTTCCTAAGAAAAAGTCAAAAGGGTAGGTTTGAAAATTTAATTCTTTTGAAGTGTAATTATTGTATTATCAAAAAAAATTAAATGAGTTATGTTAAAAATCTCAAATAAATTATTATTTTTTACCAAACCGCTCACATGGGTATGAGACCCACATAATTTGATAAAATAAATAAATGTGTAAAAGATTTATAAATTTTACATAATTTTATCTTTGATGGGTAGAAATAATTTAAAAAATTCAAAAATATTTTTTTAACAGTTATTTTTATCAAATTAGTTTATATTTTATCAAATTGACTACTTTGCTCATGAACTTGAGTAATTATATATTTAATTGTCTTTATTTGGAACAAGATTTAAAATTTATAGTCAAAAATATCACAATTGAAAAGTTAAGGATCAAAATGATACGAGTACAAAGCTATAGGGACGGCTAATATAATCCGTCTTATTTTAAAACAGAGAGAATATATTGTTTTAAACGTGCATGATTAAAAAAATTACTTGATGTATTTTAACTTAATTGTAAACTCTAATGTATTGATGAATTATGTATTTTGTTAATACCTCTTTTGTGATAATTTAAAAAAAAAATAAATACAGCATGATTATTATAGAAAAATCATAACAAAATATATTTATTCTTTATTTTTTGACCTTCTAACAATTTATTGAACAATTAATTCCGACCAATTAAAACAAGTTTATTTTAACAATAATGTTGCGGAAATTTTTTGTCAGAGTTATCACAAAAATCATAATGGACCAACCAACCGATACTAAAACTTCTTCATCAATCGATACTAAAACTTTTCGATTAACCAATCGGTTGATTGGCCATGCTTTCGTGATGATTTTTGTAAAAATACAATTTCCCACGCCTATACATATTGTTTTCTTAAACTTACAGGGCTTCTAAAGTTTCATGCCTACTAATGTTGTGACGATATTCGTTTGGAAATATGTTTTCACCAATTTTCTCAAAAGAAATTACTCAAATTGTTTAATATTATATTATAGTGTATTTTCTTTAAATTATTCATTCAACAACACAATTCTATTATAACAAATTGTTTTTTACATTTTATCAATCTAAAACCCCACTCCATCTAGATTTAACTTTTTTTTATGAATGATGATTTGTCCTCCTAATTTTCACCCCCCCGAATCCCCCGAAAAACAGATGGAGAAGAGAAAGAGGGAGAAAGAAGAGGGGAGAAAGAGAGAGGAGAGGAGAAAGGGAAACAGAGAGACAGAGAGGCCCCTCCATTCCGCCAATCGCCGATCGTCGTCGTAGCTTGCCGATTGTCGTCCCAGCTCGTCGATCGTCGTCTCAGCTCGTCCGCCTCCGCCGATCGTCGTTCTAGCTCTGCTTTCTTCTCTTCTTCTTTCTTCTTCTCTTCTTTCTTTCTTCTTCTTTCTTCGTCTTCTTTTGTATTTCTGATTGAAAAAAAAAAAAAATTCAAACGACAAAATGACGTTGTTTCGCCAATTAGGGGGATTCGGAAGGGCTGAATTCGAGCTCTCTAGCACGGTCCTTAAAGTAATTACTAGATCAAGACAATGGGATAGCTTGAAAGCAAAGCAAGCAACAGAACAATTTAGTCCATTCGCAAGAGCTTCAAACCCCTAACTTTTTTATGAGTCATAAGCCTAACTTTTTTATGAGTCATAACTCATAAAATAGGTCATCACATGAAAGTTATTTAAAAGTTTTTTTTTTTTTTTTTTTAAGAATTTTCTAAAAAAATTTTATGTTAATTTTTGTTAAACTAATTTATCGTTTAAAGAAAATAGAAAACAAAATTTAAAAAAATTAACCAAATAGATATATATCTCTAAAAAAAAAAAAGGGGATAATGATGTTGAGGACAAAGCTGACGAGGCCAAAGTAATCCAAGATTTGAATAATGGATTTTAGCGATAAATTGCTATTAAAAATTTCTTTTTGCAGCTCATTACACTTTCTTGGCAGAATTAGATCCTCATATCCAAAAAAAATTATGTTTATTGAATAATGTGACTCTCCACCTTTATGCTAATTTCAACATTATATCATTATCATTGTGACATTATTTTATATAATATATTTCATGTTGATTCCAATTACTTTTCAACTTGCATGAGCCTAAAAAATGTGTATCATTTATATGTAGCAATAATTTGCTGCATCAAACTTCGGAACTCATAACAATAGAAGAATTATCACATGTAAGTTGTGAGGTGGGAAAAGCATGGGAGCGCATAAGGGGTGGCAGGAAAGATGAGAGGGGTGTGCAAGTGAAAATTGACACTATCCTTTAGTAATGTTGTGAAAAAAATCACTTAATTCGTTAAAATCGCATTGATTCGTATTAATTTGTATCGCTTTATCTATTAATTATAATCTAAACTTTAAAATTTATAATTCGTCTTCGAAATCACTCTACTCCGCTATAGTTAATACATATATATTTTTTAATCTATAATAAAATATCAAAGTAAAAATGAACGTGAAAGATATTTAAAATGTAAAATTTATTACAAATAAGTAGTTATGTATATGAAACATATTATATAAAATTAGTTTGGGTTATATATATGAAAAATATTATGCAAATTAGTATTATATATTATACAAAGTCTTGATAATTGGTTAGAATATTTTTCAACTTGTCAATTCGCCTAAAATCGCTTAAACCGCAATTTGTCAATCCACCAATCCACCATTCGATTTATAATTTTACTTTCAAACCACCCGAACCGCACTGCACACACCCCTATCCTTTAATTTGTATGGAGTATCATCAATGTGTTTGGTTTTAATATTCTAAATTCCATTTTCTGAAAATTGAATTTTTTGTTTTTAGTTAATATTTTTAAAATTTTAAGTCATTTTTTTTACTTTTTTGGATGCACCTTACTTAGATGTATCTTAAAAGTAAAATATTTGTGAAAAAATATTTTAAAAAATTAATAAATACACAAGAATACGAAAATATACTAAATTTTTATATATTTTTTTTGTATTTTTGGTATTTAGTGAATTTTTTAAATATTTTTTTCACAAAAATTATACTTTAAAAGTATATTTATGTTTGGTGTGTCTAAAAATTAAAAAAATTGCTTAAAATATTTTAAAAATTCAGTAAAAACAAAAAAAATAATTTTTTTTAAAAAGTGAATTCTGAAAATCAAAACCAAACATACTTACAATGTAGAAATTGAACCTATGGGACAGGGGTATGTATGAGCACGAAATAATCTGTCTCGTATAATCCTATTGATCAAATGTGCACTTCTCCAAACGTCATTGCTTTACTACCTGAAAATACAAACGCGAGCTAACCGGCGAGTGTGTCCGATGCCTAAGTCAGTAATTAGACAATAGACAATAAGTTCTGTGTATTTGAGAGTAAGAATTGCAATACTTGTGTATAGGTCCTGTCATGAGCTTTTATATTACCCACCTGACACAATCCTAGCAGGACTCTAACTCTCCTTAGTAGAGTCCTTCTAGGAACCACTTTCCGTAGGATAAAGCCTCACGCTCGAGCGGAGTGACTGGC